CTGGAAGAGACTGCCAAAGTAGGAAATAAAATACAATACATAATGTCAGAGCTTTGAAAAGTTCCTTTTTTGGGGTGACAGCTCCCATAACCTCCCAGACAACATTCACTGCTGTGGGTTACTTCATTTCTAGGCACTACACTTTCTCCACAGAAACAGAGCAGGGACCTCTGTCAAATGATTTCTGCAAACAAATTTCATCTGTACGTAAAAGGACAAGGTGTTTGCACCACTGCAACATTTAACCCTGAAATTGTGGATGGTTTTGTTCATTGGCCATCCACACAGAAAAGGTGTTGCTTTGAAACTGTAGAGTCACAGCACTGACTCAACGTTCTGCCTTATATTTTCACTTCCGCATAGGCTAAATACTCTGTTTAAAATATATATCAAAGGTTGGAAAGCAGATCATGGTCCAAAAGGGCACTGAATGATACGCCTACAATTGGGAGCAGGGAAGGTCCAGCTAAATGACCAGTATGACAAATCTAAATAGCAATTCCAGCTGGCATCCTAAGATATGGTAATTGTACTGGATATCCATCCCTGCTCATTCTCCATTCCATCAGGCCTAGTGCCTCAGCTTGAAGGCATTTTAATGTGTGTTGTGCTTGTATAATACTAGCACATAAAAATCTAAGTGTGAGAGGAAAGGAGTGGGTCCATATCCTGGGGCCCATCATATCATTTGGAGTAAGTCAGAGAGGGAGGTGTCAACACCACAATTCACTGAACAAGCCCTAGAAGCAGTGGCACTGAGCACGGGAGCAAAATTCTTTCAAAAATTATCTGTTTTCTTCATTTCTCAGATTGCTGCTCCTTGTGCTGTGTTAATTGATGTTATTAAGAATTTGGCTTTTGTTTTCCCCAGTAGAATATTACTTAAATGCTTAGAATTTTTGTTCCCAAACTCATGGCCTTTTTGCTTGAGACACATAAGATTTTTCATAATTTTATTTATTTCTAGAGTTTAAAGTTCAGCTTTCCCCCCCTGTTCAATGCTTATAAATATTGTTATTGCCTGTCTTCTTATGGATTGCTCAAGCTGAAGAATTTCTTGTATAAATGTACCTTTAATATCTACTTTGCTCTTTTTTTAAAATGGGAAACAATATTAACAATATGCCTCTAATGACTTCTTTTCATGGTGTCCCAAAGGATCAATGGACTTTCTCAGGGGGTTGGATTTGTTTTCTGGTAGTTTTCCTCCTCTTAGTTGGTCAACTTTGTCCTTTTGATACAGAATAAAAGTAGGCAGTCATCATTTATAGTCCTTTTTTTATTTTGTTCTATACAGGGAAAAAGAGAGAGAGACTACAGAGTGGTCTAATATACAGCAGGGTTTTATGCTTGCTCGTTTAATATTTAATTAACTATTCTTATCAACAAGAATGTAATCTAACTGTGAGTATGAATTATATTGCCGAGAGAAAAAGGTAAAGTCCTTTTCATTTGACGGAAGGGCTTGCCCTGTGTGGTTTGTACTTGTATTAGTCTATGGTGTCACAGAAGGCTAAATTTTGTCTATCATGACTGTGAGTATTAACACTTTCTTTTGTCTGTTTTTGGTCCAGTTGTCCTGTTAAAATCTCCCCAAATTACTACTTTTAGCAGTCCTATCAGTATTAGTTAGTAGATCCTCTACAAAGGTCTGTTGATCAATGCAAAGGTAAAAACAGTGGTGCATTGCTAGACGATGATAATCTGTTCCACTGAAATCACTGTCTAGCGAAATCATTGTCTAGTGAAAAGCAAATCTCGTCTAGCAAAAATCGGTTTGCGAAGCAGGGACCAAACATTGTCCAGCGAAATTCCCCCATAGGAATCACTGTTTTGCGAATTGCTATAGCGATCGCAAAAAGTCAATGTCTAGCAAAAAAACTGTCATGCCGGGTAACTGTCTAGCGAGGCACCACTGAATTTACTCTTTTTTTGGACCTCTAATACAAATTCAACTACCTTTCAGATCAATCAGTCTGACCTGTCTGGTCAATGAAAATTGTGTACCAATTCAAACAGCTGTTCTAAGCAATTTCTAAAAAAAAGAAAGAAAAATGTCTGTTCCCCTGCCTTTTACATTCCCAAGGCATAGACCTGTTGTGAAAACATATGGTGATTCATCACAGATGTTGCCTTTTTCCATTGATGTGTTTCCTGCCAAAATGTCTCATCAGGTTTTTTAGGTTTAACAAAGTTGATGACTCTATGGTTTCTCAGATGCATTTCCAAGCCTCCAAATATTCAAAGATATACCTTTGAGTTCTCTCATAATGCATCACTATTTTCATAATGCTGCATATAACAATTGCAAATATACATCTCAAAATTAGCTTGTAAGGAATGCAATAATAATAAACTAGACTTTCTTTTAAAAAAGAGGGACATGTTTGCCTAGTACAGCTCCATTTCATTTGGTACTGTTTGCCATGGCTAGTAGCCTCATCAGCATTGGCAGGAAGTATAGGGAGTGTAGCAAGCAATAACATATTACATACAGTACTTTTTTCACCAGTCTGAATTTGTATTTATGTGCTAAGGTACAAATGAGGTACTATAAGGTACAAATGATCCTATATATACCATGAAAATAAAACCTTCATGTTGCACATAATACATACCATATTAATGAGTGATGAGGAAAAAGTCAGGAGAAAAAGAGAGAGATGGGAAGAAAGAACAAAAAGAGGAAGGGGGAATATATTACAATAAAGGGGGAAAGAGCAGAGTGGAAGAAAGAAAGAAGAGTAATTAATGGTATTTCAACTGCATATATATTGTGGAACCCTATCAGTGTTTTGCAATAATGTAACAAAATCTTCTCAGGATTTTTATTTCCCTGATTCCGTGTCTTATTGTTCTTTTCCAAAGTGAATGTCCTGGGGCAGTGGCATTACTGATATCTTCATCTTGTTGAGTTAGAAGCATGGGAGTATCCAGTCCTAATTTTCTCAAGCTGTCAGCCTTCTTTGTGGTTACTTGAAAAAACTTTTATCAGTGTGTAAGACTAGTAAATGGAAGGGAAAGCCACATCTAGATTTTACCATATAGTAACATAGTTTGTTGGTGATGGCTCTTTTCTGCTTTGAAACTTTGTTTGCTTAATACCTTGGAAGGTCATTATCGGTTTTCCATTCAAAGTGTTTTGATCTTTCTTAGCTCCTTTTGAACCTTTTCTGTCATCGTATAACTTGTGAAGGGGCATAACTATGGGCATTGTTTAGGTTTAGGAGCTAGTGAGAGGTGAATGAGTTCAAAATCCTCTCGAGTATTATGTAACTGGGGATTAATGTTGCAAACCAATCAACTATCAATTGAAGTGCATTTTCTGTTGGTTCTGATTCCTGGATCCCTTTAATGCTTAGATTCCAACATGCATTTCTGTTCTCCAAATCCTCCATTTTTAACTACAGTTCTTTTGAAGATTTGGCTACAGGGCAGATCTGTGCCTGATGACTCAAATGCCTCACTTGCAGTAAGATATCTAACCATTTCTCTGATAGCTGTAACATGGAGGTATCCAGGAGATCTAACAGTTAAATTCCAACTGGTGATGTTCAAATTGTGCAGCTATTTCATTTAATAAATCAGGTTGCACCAAGTCACCACCTTTCCACTTATGCCTCGCTACAACATTGCTGAGACATTTTCTTCAGCAATGGGGACAGCTACCAGGTGATCTTTGACCCTGAAATAGGAAGCCAATCCTTTTTCTTTTGTTCCTCGAGGTGACAGATGCATTACTTTATTACTTAATCCTCACTTGAGTATTTAGTAGTAAGCAATAAATGGTTCAGTTTTTTTCTTTAAGGATATATTGAATTAGATGGAGGTGTGTGTTATTTGGCAGAGAGCCAACTTCTTAAAATGCCACCTTTGTCAGATTAAGTCACTTCCCCCACTCTGTATTCATACATGTTGTATATTCAGTAACTTTAGTCTTTTAAGTTTCCAATAATATATTTTACAAAAGTGTGTGAGTTTTCCTCTCTAAAAGCCTCTTTGGTGGCGAGGCATGTTTTGTAAATGGCCACAGTAAATTGTCGCTATCATTACTTTCCATATTTAATTTTCCTGTGTCATCTCTAGCTATAAACTCACCCTCTCCCTGTTATGCTATATTAGAGTCAACCTTGGAAGTAAGACATTATAACTAATAAGTTACTCGTACAGTAATTATTTTTTATCAGGAATGAAGATAATAGCTATGTTAAATTGCAGTTGTGACAACAGAAGACAAATTCACTCCTTTTGTGAGATAACTAAATCTTAAATAACTTTATAAGTGAAGGAGTATGACTTCACTTAAAGGCAGGAGCAAAGCCAAACACCCCAAAACCCCAGCCCTATTAAACTGTTCACTTTGAATTTTATATGTTTGTTTTATAATGTTCTGACCACATCTAGGCTTGGTGTGACCCATAGCCTTGCAAAATATTGCCCAGCTTTACTGTAGCAGCAACTGTGTATTGTTCAGGGAGCTGCAATGGCAAGTATGACTAATTGCTTTTAAAAGTAACTCTGTAAGATTGTTAATTTTTAGGTGCCACAATGCTCTGGATATTTATGGACCTTTAAAGTCAAGATAAGTATATCAGTCACTATTTGGACCGCTTTTCATGCAGTTTAGCTGGAACTTGTTTTGATTGAAAGTGTTCCATTCTGCCCCCTTTTTAGAACTGTTTGACCCCTTTCTGGCGCAGCCTTAGGACTCCTGCTTTTTTTGGTATGATTTGGTACGCTCCTAGTTATCTCGTTGTGTAGCCTGTGTGGATTTTTAGTTTGCACCTAAATGTAGCTGTGGGTGGTATTATCTGAGGCGACAACCCTGTGACATATTCCATGGGTTGTGACATTTTAATGGATGACAGGAAACTCCCCTTTATTTTCACTTTGTCTGCCACTTTTTTTAAAAAAAAAAATTACCCTGCTGATGCATCGCTATTCTAGATAAATGAGATACATTGGCGGTATTATGTGCACCATGCTAGGTAGAGGCATTGATGCGTTGCTGTGTCCCAGCTGAGCTGAAAGGCAAGAAAAAGGGGGCTTACCTCCCTTCCATCTCTCCAAACTTTACCCCATCAGCACCACTCCATGAGCTTGCTGCACCATCGCTGTCACCTCCTTATTCACAGGTAAACCAGCAATGCAAAGACCTGTCTGGATACTTCTCACAAGAGGGTAAACATTCCCAGTATGAATAGAAGAATTGTTCAAGTGTGAGACAAGAGAGATCACACTGAAGAGAAGAACATGATCCAAATTCTCCCAGGCTCTAAGATTAAAAGTTTTTGAAAAGACACAGAGTCTTTGGAGGACTGGCTGTGGATCTCCAATGAGAGTTGGTGGCAAACTGGAATTGGTTGTTATTATTCAGTGACTATAGGTCAGCTTTATACAGAAGATCTTTGAAGTTCTTTTGTCTTTGTTAAAAAGCAGATGGAATAAGACCCTGACAGAAAACAGAAAAACAGCTGGTTGGCCTTAAAACAATCTCTGTTTTATCACTTGGCAGCTTCAGACATTTATATACAGGTGGTGTCCTTGTATTCTTTTCCACATTTAGCAATTGGGATATACCAAATCTTGCCGTGAAATGTGATTCCAGGGACATTTCTTGTGAATTTAGGAAAACTTGCTAAACCAGACATGTGAAATTGAATCTCCTGAAGAAGAAAAACTTGATGGGTATGGACCTCTCAATTTCAGGACAGAGTGTTGGAGTAGGACTCAGATGTCCTGTGTTCAAATCCCCACTTGGTGCAATGGTGAACCACTCTTTGAATGTCATGTTCCTTTAAAAAGCACACCCTATCGCCATAGGTGGGAAATAAATTTATTGCACATACCACAGTAATCAACATTTCAGCAGGATGTGAGAACAATTTCTCTTGTGTCCTGCCTCTGAATAGGAAAGTTTAAATTTTTCGCAGTGAATTAAAAGGTTGCAGGATACCAGAAATCTGCTTTGGATTTTTAATTTTTCCCCCCGTCCTATCCATATTTTCTTAGTATGATATGTTGAATTCAGTGGAACAAAGGCCCCAGGAAAAATGCATGGAATTGTAACTTAATTTGCTTTTTAGAAATAAAATAAAATTAATTATTGTATATTTTTTTTCCATTTACGTATACAAACTAATAACCCTACTTTCCATAGGTGGTGTTGCGGGTTTCTAGCAGTGTCTGAAATATAATTACCTTTACAATTATTGTAAACATAAATGGCAGCTTCAAAGAAAAGCATAAGCTGCTCATTTTCCCAAGCAAAGCTTATATCTTGATCTCATAGTCATGCAGAATTCAACAACACTACCTTTTCACCCAGTTTCCATTTTACGTATGGTATGCTATCTATGCTTTATGTGTTTTTTGATAACCTTAATCAAGAATACACATATCAGTTTCTATCTTTATATGCCATGTTTCTTTCCAGAACAACCTTCAAGGATATTTCAGTTCATAAAAAGGTTGTGGGTGGCTTGTTAGCTGTCATTGGCAGAGATGAGGAAACACCAAGCAGTAAGTCACATTAGTACATTCTGCAAATGGTGTATTTTAATGTATACTATTGCTATTCTAAAAGACTGAGATGAATACAGAATAGATACACATAGACAGGAGCTGGAATATCACCAATCTTTCTTCTTTCTTTTGAAAATTCTATTCTAGACCCTTGCCTTGTGGACCATCACACTTTTACTACTCAATGGGGCTAGAGGTGAGCTGTGTTAATTTTACCATTGCAACACATATGGACCCTAAATAAATGTTTAGCTTGCGAGAATGTTTTTGTTGGAGGTGAAGTGTCAGAAAAAGGAAGTTGAAAAGGGGAATGCTGCAGAAAGCTACTAGGATGCAAATGGAGAAAGGGGTAGACCCAAAATATGGGGTAAGACATCATTTCACCCTGGTCAGTGAGACACCCTCGCTGTAATAACAAAAATAAATATTGCCATGGTTGTTGTGGGTTTTTCAAGGTTCTTTGGCCATGTTCTGAAGGTTGTTCTTCCTAATATTTTGCTAGTCTCTGTGGCCGGCATCTTCAGAGGACAGGAGGCAGAACTCTGTGCTCTGGTGCAGTTTGTTTGGATAATTGAGTATTTATAGCTGTGGGATCAGCTTTTGTCCTTTTCAGGAGATGGATGATTGTGGTGATTGGTGTGTTTTTGGTTGTGGGTGTATTGTTGTGATAAGAGGGAGAGATTATCTGTCACTGTGACTGATGGGTGTCGTTACCTGGTCTTTTGTGTGCAGTGATCACTAGTCCTTTCGGCTGGGTAGAGTTCGTTAACCTTTTGCAGGCTGTAGTTTTTCAGTGCTGGGAGCCAGGTTTTGTTGAGTTTTAAACGTTCTTCTTTTTTGTTGAAGCTCTGCTGATGTTTGTGGATTTCAATGGCTTCCCTGTGCAGTCCAACATCATGATTGCTGGTGTTGTCCAGTACTTCAGTATTTTGAAGTAGAATTTTATGTTCAGCTTGTTTTAGGGCATGTTGAGCTACTGACAATTTTTCTGGTTGTTTTAGTCTGCAGTGTCCCTCATGTTCTTTGATTCTGGTGTGGATGCTGCATTTTGTGGTTCCAATATATAGCTGGCTACACAAAAACTCCAACCACCATCCACAGAAAAAAAAGAGGCATAATCAAAACACTGGTAGACCACGCAAATTGGAACTGTGAAGCTCAATTTCTTATCACCAAACTCAATCATCTGAATTGGGCCCTACAGGCAAATGGCTACTCCAAAAATGAAATCACAAGAGCCATCAAACCAAGAAAACAACACCAAACTGAAGAGGAAAAACAGCTAGCCACAAATAAAGTATTTCTGCCATACATCAAAGGGGTCACGGACCGCATGGGGAAACTTTTGAAAAAACACAACCTACAAACAGTATTCAAGCCCACCACAAAAATACAACAAATGTTACAGTCAGCAAAGGACAAAAGGGACCCCCTCACCACTGCAGGAGTATACCAGATACCTTGTAGTTGTGGCCAGGTATATATTGGAACCACAAAATGCAGCATCCACACCAGAATCAAAGAACATGAGAGACACTGCAGACTAAAGCAACTGGAAAAATTAGCAGTAGCTGAACATGCCCTAAAACAAGTTGGACATGAAATTCTATTTCAAAATACTGAAGTACTGGACAACCCCAGCAATCATTATGTTAGATTGCACAGGGAAGCCATTGAAATCCACAAACACCTGCAAAAAAGAAGAAAGTTTAAAACTCAACAAAGCCCGGCTCCCAGCACTGAAAAAAGCTGATCCCACAGCTATAAATACTCAACTATCCAAACAAACTGCACCAGAGCACAAACAGAGTTCTGACTCCTGTCCTCTGAAGATGCCGGCCGCAGAGACTGGTGAAACGTTAGGAAGAACAACCTTCAGAACACTGCCAAAGTGCCCGAAAAACCCACAAGAACCATCAGATCCCAGCCACGAAAGACTTTGAGAAAATATTGCCATGTTGTAGTGTGAAGTATTCCTGGTCCTGCTTCCAGCCAGCAATGCCATTTTCCTGTATTTCAGTTTTGTTTCACTAATTGCAGCTCAGTTTTCTGTGGTCAGTCATCACTGGGCTGGTTTTGCAAAGGTGGGAGATCCCAGACCCCACTGATGTTTTTATTGGAATTCTTCTAAGTCTTTTGATATCTCTGTGGTGTGTGTGGATGGTAGTGTTTTAGCTTTAGTAGCACATGTGTAGAATGTATGGCATGAATGTATGCTATTAGTATGTGTTAAGATGGAGTGCCTCAAAAGAAGGGGGAGTTTAGGAGCATTGGTCACATGTCAATGTGGGATTCCGGTCCTGCTAATTACAAATGTGTAGCAGAATGTTGCTATGGGTTAATTTGAAACAAAACAACAGGAACCATTGGTTGCTTCAAAGGATTTCTGTGCTGAGCCACTTTCCCTCTGGGGTTTCAAATCTTTTTCAAAAAGATAGTGGTGGGGAGAGAGCAGGCATGTGGACGCATACATGGTGGATTCTGGAGTTGTTTTTTATGAAAGAGACAGTCTACAATTATTCATTCAGTATAAAGTAAATAGAAATTCCCCTTATTTTCATTATTTAAATATTTAAATTAGAGACATTTTTCATTATAAATAGGGCAATCTTGGCAATAGTAGTCAAAATCGCAGTTTAGGAGCTGTGGGAAGCTGTGGAAAAGGTATATGGGAAGGTTACTCCTAGTTCTTTCCAAAGCATGGTATAAATATGAAGCTCCTTGCCCCCTCTGTTTTGGGATTATATGCACACAATGATATTTTCTTTGGAATTCCAAGTTTAATTTTTTCAGCTGTAATGTGGGAAATGTCACTCTCCTCCTGCTGCCAAAAGGCAGAAATTGTATAATTGTTCCATCTCTAGACTGACTTTTGTCCAGTTTTGTTGCTTTAGCACCATCTAGTTTTATTGGTTAGTTGCTATACTGGTTTTAAACAGTTTTAGTTTTATCTTGGTTTGGTTTGTAAACCAGAGTAGTGCTTCATCACTAATGGGGAGTGGTGTACAAGCAAGCAAGCAAACATTTTCTCAAATTTTCTTTCATGTTTGTCCCCAGGGAGAAGTAGACATAGCTGAGGCCACATAAAAGTCATCTGACTTCATGGGTGCCCCGCCATTACAGCTGTTGTGTTGGAAGGCATTTGCTGAGATGTAGCAGCAGGGTGTTGCAGAGAGAGCTGTGTGTCAGCTCCCCCTAGGCTTGTTAAGCTGCCTCTAGGCATTGTGAAGGATGATCTCCAATTTTGGAAAAAAAACATCCACTGCCAATCCAGTTGGCAGTGGATGTAATGGAATAGGCAGGTCACTATTTTGCTGTGTTGCATTGTTTTGTCTGTTTGACTCAAACTAATAAAGAAATGTTAGACTGGCCATGGTTAGTTCCCCACCCAGCAAAAATCATCTCACTTCTCCATGTCTTTTTCTGATAGTCCTGAGTGTTTCCTCTGCTCTGTCTCATGAACTATATCTGCGGATATAATGTAGTCTAGAAAAAGGCTTCTTTCAACTACTCCCCAGTGGCAAAAGAGATGAAGAATTTGAAAGTGTGCCTTGTAATGTTGACAGCATTGGCCTTGCGTCCTTCTGTATCCCTGCCAGAGTTGAGATGAAAGACAGAACATTGCCTTTTTCATTACTTTGATTGCTGATATCTTGATCATTTGGTCCCGATTACAGGAAAAGAAGTCTGTTATGAGCCCCTGGGCTGCTTTACAGATGACGCGCCATGGAGTGGAACTCTACTGCGACCCATTTCAAAATTACCCTGGTCACCAGAAAAACTAAACACTCGTTTCCTTCTCTATACTCGAGAACACCCTGATAGCTTTGAGGTATGATTACTCTGGTTAATTGCTGCAAGTTTTCCTTGTGTACTGAAGAGAGTGGTCAGAACTGAAGATAACTATTTATATACAAAGATATGAAAATGAATATTTGTGATGTGCAGATTATTAAATTGTGTGGTCCAAAGGTGTACGGCACAGAGAATAAAGCTTTTAATGTTTATATATTTTTTACAGGAAATCAAGGCCACTAGTCCAGCAACTATTAGTCAATCAAACTTTAATGCAAGCAAGATAACTCGCTTTATTACGCATGGATTTATAGACAAGGGTGAGGAAAACTGGCTGTCAGATATGTGCAAGGTACAGTACTATGTAATAATATTAATAGAGTAGTTCTGAAATTAATTTATCTATACTCAGTACACCATATGTTAAGAAACTTTCTTTTCAAAATAAAAAATTACCTTGAATTATGAAATTGAGATTTTAGTTTGCCAGTAAAGCATTATACTCCTGGAGAGACAGTATAAGATTCTTTGGTTCCTGAAGATCATAGGATCCAGTGCCTTATAATGAAGCCACATCTGTCACACAGAAATACTTCTAACAGCAGCTGAATTTCTGCAGTATGGTTGTGGTGGGCTGTATGTACAGTACAGCCTGTGGCAGGTCCCACTAAGGAAAAATTGGCTCCCACACTCACCAAAATTGGCTATCCCAATTCTAAGCAGATTCAAGCACTTGGTATGTCATTGGCAGGCTCTTAATCAATTATTGTTGCCATTAATTCAGAAGTGACTTATAGAGACCTTAATAGGGCTTTCAAAGTGAGATATTTCAGTAGTGGTTTTACCAGTTCCACTCCCCCAGTGAGTTTTGGTGGTTGAGCAGGGATTCAACCCTTGGTCTCCAGAGTCCTGGTCTGTCTCTCTATCCACTATACCATACCACTTAATAATTACATGTCATCAATCCAGTTCTAATTTACAGCAACCTTTCTCTGGGCTTTCTAGTTATAAAGTATGGTAAATTGCTTTAGCTGCCACACAGTAGAAGTACAGAAGAGTACTCACAGAAGAGAATAGCTACAAGTTCCCCAGGTAATGCAACCCTTTCTCATTTACTTGGACTTAAGGTCTCAATAACTCACTCTGAGACACTTGTAGGGGACGAAATAAAAATGTTTCATTACTTACAGTTGTGAACTGACCAACAGCAAAAAAGCAAACAATTGATTTCAATAGACAAGAGAGAGAGAAAAGGAACACTTCGCAGAAAGGAGGAGCTCTCTGAATTCAGAGGGAGGAGGGAAGGTTTGGTTAGTGCTGGATAGATTGACAGCCACCCAAGCCCAGAAAAATGGCTTCCAGTCAAGCAAACTTTAAGGGTTTGACATGCATGTTGGGTTGCAAATAAAACCCCAACAAAAACATGTCAATGGGAAAATAGCTGCGAAATGCAAACCGTGAGGGAGGTGTAGATGTCACGTATGGAGAAAATCTACATTCTGGGGTAAAAATAATCTTTACTTCTCTTTGTTCTTGCCCGGTCTTCATCAGAATATGCTTCAAGTGGAAGATGTGAACTGCATCTGTGTAGATTGGAAAAGGGGTGCCAGGTGTCCGTACACCCAAGCATCGAATAATATACGTGTGATAGGAGCTGAAGTGGCGTATTTTATAGATGTCCTTATGGTAAGGGGGTTTCCAGTCACTATGACATAATTATTCTAAGTTTTAGAGCAACAGAGGAGTGTCCCGAAGGAGAGAGAGTAAGTCAATTGGTAATAACTGGATAAAAAGTGCATCCTTATTTGTTTGTTTATTTGTTTGTTTTATTTAAAATATTTTTGCCCCACTTCTCTTCTTATAAGGACACAAGGCAGCTTAGAACAATTACAAGACAATACTTAAAAGCTAAAAACAATAAATATATAAATATTCAAAAAGTGCACCCTCATTTGTTTGTTTGTTTTAAAATATTTTTGCCCCACTTCTCTCCTTATAAGAACACAAGGCAGCTTACAATTAAAAGACAATACTTAAAAGCTAAAAGCCTGCCTAAAGAGAAAGATCTTTGCGTGCCTGCAGAAGGACAGTAAAGATGGTGCCTGCCTGACCTCCTGTGGGAGGGAGTTCCAGAGTCTAGCAGCAGCAACAGAGAAAGCCTTCTCCTGTGTCCTCACCAAATGCACCTGTGAAGGTAGTGAGGGACTGAGCTAAAGGCTTCCCCTGATTATCTTAATTCTTGGACAGGTTCATAGAAAGAGATGCAGTCTTTTTAAATAGCTTGGATCCAAGCCATTTAGTTTAATAATACCTTTTGATTGAGATTCAGGCTTGATCCAGACCTCACTTATTTGTCTTTCTGGCAGTCTGTGGTACTCATAAAGCTCTTTGCTAACACCAAAGGATGTGGTGGCACTGCGGGCTAAACTGCAGAAGCCTGTGCTGCAAGGTTAGAAGACCAGCAGTCGTAAGATCGAATCCACACAATGGAGTGAGCTCCCGTCGCTTTGTCCCAGCTCCTCGCCAGCCTAGCAGTTCGAAAGCATGTAAATGCGAGTAGATAAATAGGTACCATCTTGGTGGGAAGGTAAAATGGTGTTCCCTAGTCACGCTGGACACGTGACAACGGAAACTGTCTTTGGACAAACGCTGGCTCTACGGCTTGAAAAATGGGATGAGCACTGCCCCCTAGAGTCGGACACGACTGGACTAAAAATGTCAAGGGGAACCTTTACCTTTACCTTTAACACCAAATTTCAGAAGGCTAGTTTCTCCTGACAGTTTTCTGGATTGTCACAGTTTTGTATCTGTACATAGAAACATGGATCTAATTCATGATTACTATTTAATCTGGCATTTAAGTCCAACGTCCTCCTTCTCTTTTTTGGTGACATCACAATCCTTCAGGCTAATCATTATGGTCATGTACAAACAAACAGGTTGGAGCTGTTTATGGGGAGTGCATCTGACTGAGTCCTGCATGTGGAGATGCAGTTTTTGTGATTACTTCACATCGAAACAGGTTTACAATCAATTTCAGTACAAATTCAGCAGTGGGTGATACCTTTATAGACCACTAAAGAATTATCATACAGTCTACTACCTTTTGTGGACCAGGACACCCACTTCATCAGGCTTCCACCGGTGTCTTGCTGTTAGTGCAAATAACACAGAGTCCCAAAAGTTCATGACAGATGGATTTTACCAGGTATTTTTCTTAGATGTTAGTTAGGAAAGACGTAGACTGCACTGGAGCTGTGGCTTTACAGTTATAGCTGAAGAAGCTGTTGATTGGATATCATACTCCAGTTCTTTAAATTTCACGTTTCACTCAAAACACAAGAAAGAAAAATTGCCATAAACAGGTCAGTTTTAATGTATTCAACACAGAATGAACTTCAGGCTGTATGAATGGTAAAGCACACACATGGCCACCAATGTTTATGTTGACATTTTTACCATTGTTTTTACTATCAGACAAAGTATGGATATTCTCCATCCATGGTACATTTAATTGGGCACAGCCTTGGGGCACATTTATTTGGTGAAGCAGGAAAAAGAAGACCAGGAATTGGAAGAATAACAGGTAGGCTTATTGAATGAAGCATACCGTAGGTTTGGTACCATATCAAGTATTGGTGAAATGGAATTTTACCTACCATGTTGTGGTGATGCAACTGGCATAACTAATACTGGAGAGATGTTTACACCAGGAATGGATGTAGTGTGGGTTACGTGCAGCCCTCAGGAACCCAGATACATTCCGCCGCCCCCGCCCCCCACAACATCCTTATGACCACCAACAATCTCATAACCCCAACCTTAAAAAATAAACAAAGGGAAATAGCAAAGAAAGTTGCTTTTCCTCTCAATAGGATATGGGCAAAAAAATTGTCATATGATGGATAGCATCTCTGAGGCCCCATATTCTCTCTAATGCCCCCCCAAACCCAAATAAACTTTTGGCTATTTGAGGATACAAGAGGCCTTTTTTTTAAAAAAAAATGGGTGTCATGGGAACCCTCCAAGATCCGTGGATGGGCATGCGTGCCTCTAAACGTTGTCCTTCTCTGGTTTATGCTATGATCCTTTGTAGAATTGTGTTTTAGAGCCTACCAACATAACACAACCTTAGAGATCCATACGGTCCCTTCCTGCTCTGCAGATCTAGGATGAAGAAGATTAAGACCTCCAGGAATGGAGTAGATTTGGCCATTTCCAATAAGGATAGATATGTCAGTTGTGAACACCCCAAAATATAGTTTGATATATCCATGATGGATGATAGATTTTGGCCCTTGTAAATGGGGGAAAATATCTGTGTCATCAAGCGAAAGAGTTTAAAAAGTGAGCATCCTCAGGTAATTTAAGATTTCCTGAAAACCCACTTTTTTTAGTTGACATATGGTGTACCTGTACTACATTTTTCAGCACACTGACACCACTAACTTTCATGCCTACATCATACAGAATGCTGGAATTTGTAGTTTGGTAACGTGCCTAGAATTCTCTGCTAGTGAACTCTAGTGCATCTTTTGAAATAAAGCAGGGAATTCTAACTAAGGGTGTGATCACATGGTGAAACAGATCACACTTTGGACTACTTGTGGAGCAGTCCAGTGGAATCTATTTCTGGTGATCACACAACTCATGGGAAAATGTGCGCCAGCCTGGCCCCAATCCATGCCCGTTATGTTTTTGGTCCAGCTGTAGGGCTTCTATTTGGAGGGGGGGGACTGTGCTGGAATGATTCCCCAGCAGACAGAAGGGTCACTCCCTTAAAAACACTTTTTCTCCCTTAAAAAATTCCTTTTAAAAGCCATTTCCAGTGCATTCAGGTGACTTTGCAGCCCTCTGCACTTTGACTCATATAACTACAAACCAGAGGATTCTTTAGAATGGAGCCATAATAGGCAAATGGGTATCAAACTAATACAACTGTGTGATATACAGTGGATACATTCATACTTGTTGTTTGGTTGTCACCCTCACTCTCAAGCAATAAAGACCTTAGGGTGTTTTCATGGTTCTTTTTTCACCTTGGCCTGGCCACAGTTTCACCAAAGATTTTTCATGGGAATTTAAGCTAAAATCCAATACACCCAATTCTCCAAAGTTATGTTACTTCCATCTGTAGCCTGTCTCAATCCTCTACTCATCAATATGGCATTAAAAGTAAACCATTCTTCCTGCAAAGGTAGCACCATTCACATGCAGAACAATAACCACTGGAAGAAAAGCTACTTATCTCAACATAGCCTTTTAATGTCATTGCACTGGAAATTCCTATACATACAGGCTGTTAGGGGATTTCTTCTGGGACATGGATGGCCAAAGATGTCACTTTCTTTGTTTTCTTCTGTTTCTTTAGATTTGCTTCATTTCTATGGATTTGCTATCTCTTGTCCCTTTTCTTTTAACAGACCTCCTAGAGATCATGTTAATCCCAGTACTTTTCAGTAGAACAACTATATTTTATCCCCAGATTTAATTAATAGTGATCTTTAAAAATAAGAAAAAACAAAAAACAAAAACAAAACCCTCTTCTTGTATGATTTCAGTACCAGCCTATCCAGTCTGGACAGATAGTACACTGTTGCTGAAATTTTTTTCAGAGTTCATGAGCCTATAATCAGAGGTTTCTTCATTCTTCCTTCCACCCTTGCTTTGCTTCCTCTATGAGCAGCAGGTAGCTTGTTGCTGAATAGGCTGTGCATTTCTACTTGGATACCTTCGGTTAATTACATCCTATTGTTAGTTTTTCTGTTCTTAAACTATTTTTCTTCTTTTTCTTACTCTCTGTCCCTTTCTCTCTGTAGGTTTCTCTGAGAAAAATAACAAGGTTCACTTAATAAGAAGGAAAAAGTGGTAGGTGGAAGGGGAAACCTTCCTTGATAGCAGACAACAGACTTGTCAGGATCATTTCAGATAAAAACATTCTTTTCAGAATCGCTTTCAGATTCAGATGTAAATAATAACAATTGTGCCACCAATTTGGATGTATGACAACCTCATGTGTGCAATCCTGCACTGCCCTCAAAAATGTGTTTAGAGGAAATTGCACGCCCAAAGAGGAGCGTAAGGATGATCTGATAGGAGGTTTGCCAAGGATAATTGTTACTTTAATATGCTTAGTTTGTAAAGCTTCATCACCTTCTCCTTAAGCCCATGTATTTAAAAATATGTCTTTATAGGACTAGATCCTGCTCAACCCTATTTTCAAGGCACACCAATTGAAGTCAGACTGGATAAAAGCGATGCTTCGTTTGTTGATGTGATTCATACTGATATGCTTCCAACCATTCCGTACCTGGGTAAGCTGAGAGCAGTTCATAGCAAGCTGCAATAGTTATGACGTCTTTCAAATTTGACATACACTTTTCTGCTATTCATATTCTAGGCTTTGGAATGAGTGACCCTGTGGGACACCTTGATTTCTTTCCAAATGGAGGTGAAACTATGCCTGGATGTTCAAAGAATGCAGTTTCACAAATAGTGGACATTGATGGAATCTGGGAAGGTATGCGTCACAAGAAAAGGCTCTAAAAATGACACATTTTAATGGATGTTGATACAAGGTGCACACACCTCTCCAAATGCCATTTTTTAAGGGACAGTCAGTGTAAAAACAATCAGAATGTATTCCACTGAGCGTAACAGGATGTGTTCCAAACCAAAGCTCAGGGAAGCAACTTTTGCAGTCTATATCTCCCAGAATGCCTCAGCCACTAGCTGGGTGATTCGGGGAGCTGTTGTCCAAAAAAGCAACTTTTGCAAGCTGTTTTTTTTTTTTAAATATCATCGACATGGCAAGGTTTACTGCAAGTCATTAGAGCTTGGTGGATGCCTAATGACTAAGAGCCAGAAACTGAATATCAGTGCTAGCAGTGTACAATATGGGAAGTTCTGCTGCTTCATGTTCAGCTTCTCATTTTCCTGGAATTTCCTATCAAGCCCCCGCCATGGAATGTTGAGCTAGAATAGGGCTAGTTTTCGATGGGGAAAAAATTAGACTTTTAGAGCCCCATATCCCTTCAGTAGCTCCCACACACCCCAAATGTATTTATTTGGTTTTAAAAACTGGCCCAGAAAATCCTCTTGCACCCTTTTCAACATTGCAAAGCTGCCATGTTGAAGAGACCCCAGCATCCTTGGAACTTAAAAACCCTCTATTTTTCTTTTTTAAAAAACCCATGCCAAAATATCTCTGGGTTCTAGAGAATGGAAAGGGGCCTTTTTTGGGGGGGGGAATTATTTCCCCTTTTTTAAAAAATGGGAGATCAAGGGCTATGGAAGCAAATGCTGCCCTCAAAGAGCAAGGAATGGGCATTGTTCTGATGCAGCAGCCCTTCTTAAAAATCAGCAAAAGGATCAGTCCTGCTATTACAACAAACAGTCCCCTGGCTATACCTCCTGAGCTAATGACAGTTCCTATACTTACAAGACAGGGTTCTTTTAGCCCATCTCCTTAAACTAGTGTTTTTCCTCAGGTGCTCTGGAGGATATGATTACATCATCAGTATTCAAATAAGATTTAGCTATCAGTCCAGATGACACCTATACAGAGAAACAGAGGTTAACATCATCTTGCAATTTGCCTCCACTGATTGCCTCAGCTATCAAAATGTTCTATGGTGACTTGGAGCTAATCAGTAATTGCACTGATGAATATCTTGGGAGGACAGCCCGAATTTCTGTTCCTGCCATCTGGGATGTTTCCTTTTGAGCAGGAAGCTTGGGCAGAGCTAGGCCTAGGTAATGTGGCAGAATTTTAATTTTTTTTGTTAAATTCCTTTAGCTGGCCTGCAGAAGTGCAGGAATTCACAGAGTAGAATTAGCTACAAGTTCCCTAGATTAGTCAACCTCTTTTTCTCATTAACACACTCTGAGACATTAATATTAGAACAAATTAAAGTGTTTCATTTACTTACAGTGAATCGAAAAAACAGCAGACTGACAAACATGGCTAACTAACATTCCATAACAGGCATCAACTGACTACAGACTGCCAGTAATTCAAGACAGGGAAAAAGCTGTTAGCAGAGTGGCTGTTTTTTGAATTCAGAGGCAGGGGAGGAACAGTTAGGATAAATATGAGAACCACTCATTATAGATCTGATATTTCTTCAGAAGTGATATGAATATCTCACCTATGATATTATATGCACAAATCATTTCTTCAAATGGCATAGGAATAAATAATTGTCCTTGTTAGAAGCAACTACAAAAATGTTCATGTTACTATTAAAATGTTATTTTTAAAGCAATATGTTTATTGATGGCACTTCAGTTTGTCCAAAAAAGATACAATTGTGACATTAACATTAAAATCGACCTGCTATTTCCAAGTTGTTTTTTTTAATGGTGTGTAAGGCATATATGGCATCAATTTCAAGCATATCCCAGATTTAAGCCTTTTTTTCCTCTTTCCCCATGGAGTTGCAGAGTATGTCCAATAGCACAAGGAAGTCAGCATTCAAAGGATATTATGACATTTCCCACAACAATTAATGTAGTGTTAGTTCAGTGGCAGAGCATATACTTTGCTTTCGGAAAGCCTCAGGTTCAGACCCCATATTTGGTAGGACATGGAAAGATCCTTGTCTTAAAACTTGAAATGCTGCTGCCACAAAGCTAACATTAATGGGCGAGGTGGATCAAAGTTCTGACTAAGCATAAGGGTGCTTTCCACGCACCTAGCTCAGAAGCTAAGTGCTTTGCACATATACTTGTCATGAAGAAGAGATATTTTTTTTGAAGTTACAGTACATAATCTGCACTATGTAACAGCAGTTTCTTCTTCACAGGAACTCGTGACTTTATGGCCTGTAATCATTTGAGGAGCTACAAATATTATTCAGATAGCATCCTCTATCCAGATGGATTTTTGGGTTACCAGTGTTCTGCTTACAGCGAATTTGAATCAGTATGTTATTTATGTATCTCAGGAGCAATGTTTTACAGTACCGCTTCTCAGTGCACATGCAACAGAATGTAGTCACCTAGCTGATTAAGCATAATAGCCTTGGGGGCCATGGAACAGAATTAAGAAGTGTTTCATTTCTGGAAAATTACCTCTGCCGATGATGTTTTCAGCCTTACAGGGGTGTTCTGGCACAACCATTGTTGTGCTGTCAAGTTGCCTCCAATTTATGGCCAACCCATGACTGAGTGATTTCCAAAATGTCTGGTCCTCATCAGCCCTGCTCAGCTCTTGAAGACTCAAACAGTAGTTTCCTTTAGGGAGTCAATCCATTTTGTATTTGGTCTTCCTCTTTTCTTCCTGCCCTCCACCTTTCCCAGCATTATTGTCTTTTCCAGAGAATCCTGTCCAAAGTGATGTGCCCTGAATAGGACTACTTCAGTTTTTGCTTCCAGAGACAGTTCATGCCTGATTTGATCTAGGACCCATGTGTTTGTCTTTCTGGCAATCGAGGGTATCTTAAAAGATGTCCTCCAGCACCATATTTCAAACTAATCAATTTTTTCCCGTCAGCTTTCTTAACTATCCAACTTTCACACCTATACATGGTGAATGGAAATATGATAATGTGGATGATCGTGGTCTTGCTCTCCAGTGACACATCCTTACACCTGATGATCTTTTCTAATGCATTCATTGCTGCCCTTTCGAGTTTCATTCTTCTTCTGATTTCTTAGCTGCACTCTTCATTTGCATTAAGGAATGAACCAAGGAATACAAAATCTCCAACTATTTCAATTTCTTCATTGTCAGTGCTAAGATTGTGTAGTTCTTCTGTGGCCATGATTTTTGTCATCTTCATGTTCAACTGCAATCCTGGTTTAGCACTTTCACCCCTCACTTTTCCTAGCAGTCATCTCAAGTCATTGCTGCTTTCTGCCAGTAAGTTGATGTCCTCTGCATATCTTAAATTACTGATGATCCTTCCACCAGTTCTCATTCCTCCTTTATCTGAATCTAGTCTGCCTTTCCATATGATATGTTCTGCGTATAGATTGAATAGATAAGGGAATAAAATGCATCTTTCTTTGATATCTTGGCTTATTGCAGGGGTCGCCAACCCCTAGTCCACAGCCTGATACTGGGCTGTGACCTTGGCAGGACTGGGCTGCAGACACCGCCCCCCCTGCATGCACGCTCCCCCACGCCCATCCACCCGCATCCACAGCCTGCCCACCTGCATGCACAGGTGCTCTGCCCATCCCCGTGTGCACCTAGCCAACCCTCACGTGCACAAGCATGCCCCACCCACCCGCAAGTTAACCCTACCTATCAGCGCATGTGTGCAAGTGTGCCCCACCCACTAGCAAGCATGCCCTGCCCACCCATGTGTGCATGTGTGTGTGTGTCCCACCCACCCAAGAGCACACCCTGCCCACTCATGCATGGGGCTGCCCTGCCCCCAGGGACCCCACCCACCCCAACCGGCCCACAGTTTAGAAAAGGTAGAGGACCACTGGCTTATAGGACATTTTGTGTCTCCATATTCTGTCCAAATGGCAACTTCTTGTCCACAATACAAGTTATGCATCACAACAGTTAAGTGCAGAGGAGGTACACCAATTTCTTTTAGAAACCCCCATCATGTACTGTAATGGCAAACAATAGTTGTCACAAATCAGCCATTTAAGCAGACACGAGAGCAGGAAGAATCATGCACATTTGAAATTAAGACAAGAAAACCTAGAAAACTGACCCACTTTAAGGCACTTTAAGACAGTGGTACTGATATGATGGCAGAATGTTAAGCAAAGAATAATTGGAAATGTGTCAGTAAGGTTATTTAATTGGCAGCATGATGCTGAATACCTCTAATGGGAGCTGAAACCATGTGATCAATGAATAGGCAATAGTTTTGAAATTATTTTCTGGAAAAGGGCTCCCTACTTCTTAATGTAATGGTACTAGAATGCTATTTTTCCATGTCAAAGGAAAATACATATATGTAAAGGGACACTTCTGTCATATTGAGGACTTACAGGACATGTCAAACACTGGTCAAGTCAACTGTGTCCCTTTCAAATCAAGGGACACTGTTACTTCGTGTAGATCACTGGTTCTTAACCTTGGGTTACTTAGGAGTTTTGGACTGCAACTCCCAGAAGCCTTCACCACCAACTGTGCTGGCTGGGGTTTCTGGGAGTTGCAGTTCAAAAACATCCGAGTAACAAAGGTTAAGAATCACTGGTGTAGATGAAGAATATTTTTTAAACAATAAGTAATTAAATAACAAAGGGTCTATACTGGTTTTATGTTTTTACTTTCAGAATGGATCTGAAGACTCTAGAGTCTGAAGAGAGAACATTTATTGTTACTTTAACTCTGGAAAGCTACTAATTTGTCTCTGAAGTGTCTTGATAACATGGCATGGGCCTTCAAGAGGGAAATATCCTTACTCTAGGGGAGGATAGCATTATTTACTATACCTTTTCATTAGTCCAGTAAACATGAGTGAAAACATTGGTAATAATGAAAAGAGACACGTTTCTTCCTATGCCTTTTTTTCATCAGGGTGACTGTTTCCCATGTCCCAGTAATGGATGTCCTAAAATGGGTCACTATGCAGATCAGTTCAAAGACAGAGTCACCTTTGGTTTCACAAAGCTTTATTTGAATACCGGCGATGCCAGAGTTTTTGCCCGTAAGTTCTTCATGTAGCTTTTAACTTCTGTTTTGTAGTAAACTGACAGCTGCTGTTTAACTTACTGCTATTTAAGAAACAATTTGCTAGGATGAATTCTAGAAACTCATCTTCTGTAATGGTGCCACGTTTTCATATTTGCACAGATTTCCAGAAGTGGCAGCCATGTTAGTTTGTTGTAATACTTTAAAGACTGGTAGGTTTTATTTATAAGTGTTTTATTTATAAGGGACGTGGTGGCACTGCAGGTTAAACCGCAGAAGCTTCTGTGCTGCAAGGTCAGAAGGTAAGATCGAATCCACATGATGGAGTGAGCTCCCGTCGCTTGCCCCAGCTCCTGCCAACCAAGCAGTTCAAAAGCATGTAAAAATGCAAGTAGATAAACAGGTACCACCTTGGTGGGAAGGTAATGACGTTCCGTGTCTAGTCGCTCTGGCCATGTGACCACTGAAACTGTCTATGGACAAATGCTGGCTCTATGGCTTGGAAACAGGGATGAGCACCACACCCTAGAGTTGGACATCACTGGACTAAATGTCAAGGGGAACCTTTACCTTTACCTAGGTTTTATTTGGCATATCATGAACTGCATCTCATTTCTTTATATGCAGCTGAAGAAAGAGGCTACAGTTTGAGATAGTATATGCCAGATAAAGCTTGTTATTTTTCAAGGTGCAAAAAGACTCTTGGTTAGTGCTTCAGTATCAACTTTTTTTTAAAGAAAATTTCATGGCATTTTATTACTGATATCTGACTCGGCATCATTCAGCAAAAATATATCACAATGTTAATGACGCAGATCATATAAAAATTGGGAGATTACTGCTATAATTAGTAAATCAAGGAAACTGATTTTGATGATAAACTATATGATTCGATAATCCATTAATTTAATATATTGAATATTTTGGTAATGTTTAGCTTGTTAGTTGTAGGTTTTTCAGGCTGTTAGGCCATGTTCCGGAGGGTTTCCTAACATTTCGCCAGTCCCTGTGGCCAGCATCTTCAGAGGACAGAATTTAGAACTCTGTCTGTGTTCTAGTGTAGAGTGTGGAATAGTAGAGTATTTGTGACAAATACTCAACTATCAAACACACAACCCAGAACAGTATTTGTGACAAATACTGAACTATCCAACACACTACACCAGAACATAGACAGAGTTCTAACTCCTGTCCTCTGAAGATGCTGGCCACAGAGACTGGTGAAACGTTAGGAAGAAAAGCCTCCAGAACACGGCCAAACAGCCTGAAAAACCTACAACAACCATTGGATCCCAGCCGTGAAAGCCTTCGAGAATACATTTAGCTTGTTAATTTGCAGAAATAATGTATTTTCCAGCCATTTGGGGAAAACCTTCTCTGATCAGCCAACATTGTAACCACTGAAGAGAGGGGCTCTTCCAGTATATTTATCAAAAAGGAATTAGGCTGCAATCCAATATTCAACTAACTAAAAGCAAATGCTCCTTATTTGTGTTATCCAGGCTGGAGGTACAAAGTGTCAGTCACACTGTCTGGAAAGAGCAGTGTCCGTGGATATATAAACATTGCTCTGTATGGAAGTGGAGGGAACACAAAGCAATATCAAATATTCCAGTAAGTTTAGTGTCTTTGGGGAAATGACATATTCAAATATATTTCTTTCTGCTTGCGGTTTTTGCTTTTCTAATAGCACTTTTGTTCTTGGGTTTTTGAAATGATTTGCCAGTCTTTTAAAAAAATATATACGGGGTGACTGGAAACACTCTCAGTTTTATAAATTAAAGATGGCTAAACAGTAGGTTCATAGCATAACATTACACCATCTTTCATCTTACGGATAACCTTGAAAACTTACTTTGCCTTAATGAAAATTGTAGTTTATCACGTATAGAACTTACCGAGGAATTGTTTCTTTTCTGTGTAGTATTAACTGCAACTGGCACAATAGGTAACAACTAGAGTAGGTCCAATGAATCCATGGAACATATGAAGGAATTGACTCACTAAATCAGTGGTCCCCAACTTTGGGTAACCTGGGTGCTCCTGGACTGCTACTCCCCAAAACCCCAGCCAGCACAGATGGTGGTAAAGGCTTCTGGGAACGGAAGTCCCAGTGAAGATTGGGAACAACTGCACTAGCTCCCCAAAGATCCAATGTCCGTACTCTGCTTGTGACTTGCTATGCTAAGCAACAGGATTTCATCCACAGTTTAGTTTCTTCCATAGGGTGTGGCCTCACTGAGGAGTGCAGAAGGAGTAGCAAGTGGTTCAGCTACTGCCTCCTGCTGTGTGTCATTTTTTATTTGTTTGTTTTATTTATTTAAAACTAATATAGTAATTGCATTTTTTATGATTATAGATATTTTATATTGATATATTTTATGTTGTAAGCCGCCCCGAGTAGACATGGTCTAGAGGGGCGGGGTATAAATAAATAAATAAATAAATAAATAAGTAAGTAAGTAAGTAAGTAAGTAAGTAAGTAAGTAAGTAAGTAAGTAAGTAAGTAAGTAAGTAAGTAAGTAAGTAAGTAAGTAAGTAAGTAAGTAAGTAAGTAAATAAATAAATAAATAAATAAATAAATAAAATATTTTAATTCCGACTTTCTCCTTAAAAAGGACCCAAAGGGGCTGCTTGTGCCTTGTTGTGCGGGTTGAGGGAGCAGTAGAGTAGATAGAAAGAGTGTATGTTTTGTACCACAAGTCAGCAGCTTGTAGCATTCAGATGGTTATTTTTTTTTTAAAGTGACTATTACTTTAAAAGCTAGCTACTTCAGAGAAATGGGAAACAAAGTTCACTGTTTAAAAATGTAACTATAGCAGCAATTGACTACTGGGAGCTTGAAGTTAAGATAGAAAACAATGTTAATAGTAACTTTCCAAGATCTATTACTGAAACTTTAGTGCATTTAAAATCTGTCTCCCCCACCGGCCGCTTTTTTATTGCCCAGCCACCTTTTCCTCTTTTTCAGCAATAAAGTTTGAATTTTGTCAGTTTAAATATTTTAATTTTATGTGCATCCCAGTACATCTCAGTGTTAGCCTGTGGCTTACAATCATATAATATTCCCTTAAACATCCAGCTAGTAGTAGCTTGGTCTTCCTGTGCTGTATATGCAGCAGTTTTGTTCAAATGGTTAGGGGAAGGAAAGGACAAGGATTAGCTCTTTCTGTAATATGAAGGAAGCCAGGAGTTTGTTATCACAAGTTATGGCTGGATGTGGTACTTAAGTCAAGTCCTGGGACTTTTTTTCAATTCTCAAAACTTAAAAACAGTACATAACCCAATTTTAAAAACCGCCTTTCCATATCCTTTTTAAAGTATCTATTATGCCATGAGTGGGCAAGTTCAGCAACCACATATTTTTCCTAAGACAATGCTGTCGCCCACACTAGGCTCAGAAAGTGCTATATTCTGCCCCCACCCACATATATTTTAAAATCTTGAGAATGGGTGTTTTGGGGGTTTTTTGTTTGTTTGTTTTGGTTTTGGGTCAAATGGTCCTTGGTGCAAAAACTGCCACTTTTGGATCTTGGGTAGAAATGGGGACGAATATAAAAACGGATCAACTTTCTTGATGAAAATAGCCAATTTGTTAAATATTCGTTGATCTGTATTTGTCAGATTTTAAGTCCCAATGAATATGGATCGACAAATATTTTCCCATTTTTATTCATCTTCATAATTTAAAAAAAACATTCTGCCTACTGGCTGCCAATCAACTACCTTAGCCCACCCCCACCCCCACGGACACCCCCTTACCGTAATTGCCACCACCGAGGTCTCCATCTGGCCTCCACAGCCATGATGTGTAAAAAGGGAGACTGGCTCTCCTTTGCAAAGATGGTGGCTGTGGCTTCATTTAGGGCAGGGAAGCTGCAGCTGCCATCTTTGCAAAGGGCAGCTTGGATTCCCTTAAGGCAGGCTTAAGGGCAGTGGCACAGCAGTGGAGGAGTGGCAGTGGGAGGCGGGGACTAGTGTTTTTTTAAATAACCCCCCACAAATCAATGAATAACTTCATTATTCATTGCTTCATGGGGGCAACTTTGTGCTTCGTGAATCATCAACTTTTGATGACTCAGGAAGTGGGATGACTTGCCAAAATGGTGAGTTGTCCCCATCTGTAATCCTGGGTTTGTTTTTTTAAGGAGAGAAAAAAGAGAAGGAGGTTACATGTATTTTTTAAAGTATAAAGCTGTTTATAGCATGTATTAACATGTTGTGTTAATCTCAAATAGTATAAATAGTTTAAACACATATCATTCACATTGTCAAATTGCATCTGCTTCCAAAAGCTTGTCTACGTTTTCTAATTTCTTTTGCATTTCAGTCCTGGCTTTTTGCTGGCTTAACAGGCTGAGCAAAAAGCCTTGCTATCCACAACAACACGATTTGCAGCCTGCTGTTCATTTAGTCTAGTGAGAAGCATGTTTAATCCCTGCAATGTAAATTTAACAGCAGGTTTATTCTAAATGATTTCTATAATAATTCATTTTCATCTAGACTAAATAAGACAGGTTCTCAGAAACTACACTTGAAATATAACATTTTGGCACCTATGTAAGGCCTAGGGTGGGGAAGTCACAGGATGTCCATAGAGAGAGAGAGAGAATAGACAGACAGATAATGCATTAATTTTTTTTCTCTACTTCTTAAACAATTGGCTCCATGTCAATACTGCCCCCAGCAAATCCAAAGTGGTGACTTCTTGCACCTTAAGAGGTGGTTTCCCATAACCCATGAAGCTAGCAAAGAGCTTGGGAAAGTTAGGTTTGGGACTACAAATCCCAGCAAATGGGTGATTTCAATTAGCCTTTGTGCAGCATAATTTTATTTTGTGAAATGTATATTCTGTCCATTGTCAGGACAGGCCAACAGAAACAATGCAATTTAAAAACAGGTTCAAGATCTGCGGAGAAGAAAATCTTCTGTTGGCTTTCACACTTAAGCTTGTCAACCTACTGGTACTCAGATGGGAGGAAGTTCTACAACTGGGGTGCTACCACCAAGAAGGCTTGTTCATATTTTAACCTCCACCATAGCATGAGATATTAGTGTGGATGAACAATACTTACATATGTATATATTAATTTTTCAAGGGGGACTCTCCAGCCAGGCAGTATCTACACCAATTTCACTGATGTAGAAAATATTGGAGCGGTAGAAAGGGTTAAATTCCTATGGAATAATAACATCATTAACCCAACTCTTCCCAAACTGGGAGCATCAAGAATTCAGGTGCAAGATGGAGAATATGGACACGTGTATGTATAACTTTTTAAAAGAGATTGTTCTTATGTATATAAATATATGTGTGCTATTCTTTTTTCCCCAAGTGGAAAACTCAAACCTGCTCAGAGTTATACCGAACTAATTGATGTAGAAATTGATGTTGGAACAGTCAATAAGGTCAAATTTCTTTGGAACAACAACATTATAAACCCAACTTTGCCTAGATTGGGAGCATCAAACATCATAGTGGAAGATGGAAAAGATGGGAAAGTGTATGTATTATACATTTACTTTTTAAAAGAAAACACCACCAACAGATTATTTATTAAATATATACAAATATACATGTTGGAAATCTATCATCACAGCAATTCTGAATTTCAGTTTCTTTAAATGGAAAGATACTGGTTAAGAGTATGTTTCAGGACAACACAAATACTTTTAAAAAACAGCCTTAAAGCATTAACAGAGCAATTCTACCAGTAAATAGTGGGGAGACCTAGGCAGAAAATTCCGCTCATTCTCCTCCATTGATTGCAGTGGGACACAAATAATGTATTCAAATTTTAGCAGTGATGTTCATTTCCTCTAACATCATGGATGCTGTAGATTTAAGGCTTCTCCTGATCTACCAGGGAACGCAACCACAGAATATCCCATATTTGTCTCTGTCACTTTTGGAGTTCACACAACCAACAGGCAAAGCCCACAGGTATTTTCACTGGAGCTGGAAGGGGTATGTGTGCAAAGTCTGATTTACTGCACAGCAGGTTAATCTGAACTGGAATCTTGAGCTACACACAGTTAACTGACAGTAAGCCCTAATGAACTCAGTGGGGCTTACTGTGGAATAGATGTGTAGGGTTGTGCTGTTCATTTAATTCTGTGAAGTTAATTTAAGTATATGTTTACATTGTTTGGGATGTATTTTGATATAAGATGAAAGTGTAAGAATTAGTAAATGTGGGTAGCCCTACTGAGTCTCCATAAAATAAAGAAAGAATTAGATCTTGGAGAAGCCATGCTTTTGGACTAGAACTCTAGAATCTCTCAACTAGTAAGGCCAGTGGCTATGTTGGCTGGGAGATATTTTCAAGGCACCAAAATTCTGTGGGGTCATGGAATCAATTACCTGAAGAGATCATTGTAGTAACAGAATATGATCACTGTACTCATAATAAAAGCAAGAGAATATTGGACAATCATCTCTCAGATGTGCTTTCATTTGGATTCCTGCACTGAGCAGTGGGTTGGACTTGATGGCATTATAGGCCCCTTCCAACTCTGTTGTTCTATGATTCTATGATTGGTATAAAGTGGGAGTGGGGAAAATTTTGGGTGGGAGGGAAATATATCACCAGGCAACCAAAAAGCAACAGTGCAGCATCTGAAAGATGCCAAAAATTTCCCTGTATAATATTTTCTGGCAATATATAATGCAAAAAATGGAACATGAAGTTGAATTGGCATAGAAAACTGACATTAAAACATTTGAGGTAATACACATATATACATACCTACATATATATATTTAATCCTTAGGTACAATTTCTGTGGCAGTGAAACAGTGAGAGAAGAAGTTCTGCAAACACTAACAGCATGCTGACCTGGGAATATAGGAAGAATTTTCCTACAGACCTGAATTTGAAAATGTAATTCTTGTGAAGAGGCAAATTTGCAGACTACAAATAATAAAAGAATCACTCAATGGTATTTTATTCAATCTGTGTAATTCCTCTTCCATTTCTTCCTGAGCCGTACATCTTCATACATTCTTTCTTCATTAGAATAATTATGAAATTACACAACCTGGTTTAGGGTTTTGAAGATTCCACATGTGGAGCAGATTTTCTAGGTATTAGACACAACAACTCAGTTGAGGGAGAGATCTTGGATTTTTTAAATCTGAATTTGAATTCAAAGAGACACTTGAACTTTGCAGTTCTACAAGCAACTTCTGCATGGATGCTGTTACCTAGGAGATGGGTACACAACTTGTAACTTTTTTGTTGTTACAGTATAATTGCTCATGTTGTCTGTTATATACTGTGAATTTAAAAAGACTCATTTTGTGAAAGTGTGTTTGAAAGGTTGATCAATAGATAATCTAAATAAGCAAATAGCCCCATTGAGTTTAAAAGTGTTACAATAACATTTGCCTACAGAAAAGTTTTTTTTGCTTGTCATTAAATTAATAAGAACATATGAAACTTTCAAGAAAAACGAAATAAAAAGGCTCAGTCTTGGGTAGATTTCAGAGGCAAATTTTGAAGGGAACTGGACAGAAATTCAGGTTCCCAAACGCCATGAAACCTTGGGCCAGCCAGCTTCCGTCAGCTTGGCATATTTTACAAAGTTCTTGTGAGAAATGAGGAAAGCATACCCATGTATGCTGCCTTGAACTCATTGGTAGACAAGCAGGATACACTTGCAGCTAATAGTGAACAAAACCTAAAAGTGTACAAATGGATTGAGAAAGTGTTGCAAGAGTCACATGCAGACCTTGGTTTAGGTTTTTTGGGAGGGAGGGCAATCTCGGCTAGCCTCATGACCATACCCATTTTGTAAGCTTTGATCACTTTGGTTTGAGTTCCTTCTCTTTTCGGCCTGAGCCACACCCTCGGCCAGCATGCAGCCTCTAACAAGACTACATATAAGGTCCTTTGACAGGAAAAAACAGTTTCTGTACTCTTGGTCTGTAATTTTGCAAACAATTCTTGAGCATAGGTTGCTTGAGCACAAGAGGTGGTGGTCAAGCAGCTATTTTCTCTTCTGCTCTCTCTTTTTAGATCCTCTATAGAAAAACAACCTTTCTCCAACCCACATTTAAGCCCTATCCTCTTTGCTGGCATTGCCCATGACATCGATGTATTCATCGTTAACCATGGGTTACCAAACATCCTCTTTTAATAATGAAGTGGAGCAACAATCACTTTGGCAAGAAGTGTTTAAACAAATAACACTTTACAAAGCTATCCCATCAAAGGCAAAGTTAAATAACATCAAATTACTGTCCATTTTTCCTGGCTTTCAGTGCTAATGGGGATAGTTTTGTGACCTTTCCAAATGCTTAATTTTTTACAAAAATGGTGACATGAATGGATGTGTTGTTTGAAAATGCAAGTGGCCGTAAACCACATATTATTTGTAAATATAGCATGTTCCAGCATCATTCATCTAAGTGTCTCACTGGGCCTAATTGGTATATATTTCGGTTGACATACATTGTTCTCTTGTAAAGGTGTCAAATTCTTTAGCTATGTCAGTGACAAAAGACCCCATTGCTTGTGATATATAAATTATGCTCCTTACTATATAATCAGTCATATCTGTTAGAATGCTATTTGCAACAAAATATGTTCAAAATATGTGCATGATTGATTGGTTTTTTCTCTTTTTTAAAAAAAAAATGTTAATATTGAGCTATTCAGAGCAAAGTTTTTGCTTTGAACTGTAAATGAACATTCAGGATTTGATAAGCGTCATATCAATTAAGAGACATTTAATTTGGGGAGCTAGCATAGCTTGTAAAATGCAGTTCAGACTTCAAAATGCAGCTTTTTTATCAGCTTTTGAAAACAGGCTGTCGGAGAATGAAAAATGTGATGAAATGATCATGCAGATTGATAATCTGACAGAATTTATTATTATGTTGATGTGTAGTTGTGTTTTGGAAACTCAAATGGTGAAGTCCACCTGGCCCATTCAATTTTCTCCTATAGGACTGCTTTTTGCTACGAAACCCTTTTGGACTGAGCAAATGGCCTTGCTATTTAGTTCTGTACTGGAATGAGGATATTAGTACATTTCATTGCACAAAAGAAACTATCAAAATATTGTAAAATAGAGCAAAACCTGAATACTGCTTCTGCTATGCGAAAAGCCTTGCTCGCTTGGCAGGTCTTTTGCTCTCTTACTTAAACAGCAAACACAGCCTGTCCCATTCTGTATGACACAAATTGCTCTTAAGTAGACTCTTAAAATTATGTTGCCAATTAACCCCCCCCAAAAAATGTAAACGTAAAGAAGAAATCCAGCCGAGTGTTTGCCACTCACAAAAAACTCCTCTAGATTTTGACAATATTTTTCTGCACATTACCAGAGGCATGTTACCTCAAGGAAAAAGCCCCAATAGAATATTCTAGGAAACAAAATATTATGCTTCTACTTGTTTTAAGCACAACTTTCTTAGTAAAAATTAGACATAAATTCACAAAATCAAGAAAATTGCACAAGCAATCCTGTGCATCCTGTGGTGACATTCACTTTTTTCCTATTTATTTCTTATTTATATTTTTAAACTACCAATTTTTGGCATTTCTTCTTTAACACCGTATTATCAAAATTCCTAGCAGCTTCTTCCTGGACTAGACTGAGAGGCATCTTTGATCGCAGTATCTGTTTTATTCACTTGGTATGGACAAAGTTTTCATAAAACCAGTTTTCTGGATGGCTTTGCAATAGGCTCTTAAACTCAGAATTCGGAAAAGTCACTCTCAGACTCCTCAATCCAGCTCTGCGTGCATATTATGGCCATCCCCAAACCCCCTAGCGGCTTCTTCCTGAACTAGACTGAGAGGCATCTTTGATCGCAGTATCTGTTTTATTCACTTGGTATGGACAAAGTTTTCATAAAACCAGTTTTCTGGATGGCTTTGCAATAGGCTCTTAAACTCAGAATTCGGAAAAGTCACTCTCAGACTCCTCAATCCAGCTCTGCGTGCATATTATGGCCATCCCCAAACCCAATAAAAACAATGTTGTGTTAATAGGACGGGAAGAATATTTCTATATGAAGGTTATGGCCAGGCAGTATAAACACGTGGCCAAATGAAAATCATCATCATCATCATTCGAAGATGAATAATTTTGAAAACTGCAGAGCTGGAAGAGAAGGGACCCTGATCATTGAGCGCAGCCCCTGTCAAGGAGGCACAATAAGGAATTGAACTCCCAGGTTCTCACTCCACAGCCAGATACTTAAACCACTGAGCTGTCCCATGAGGAAGACTACCCAGGACTGCTGTATTTTAAGCACATTCACCATTAGCTTCATCTCTAGACTTTGGTGTTATCTAAATGTTGGTGCTCTGGGGCAAAACCTCAGCTGCTCCAGCTTCGTTTCCGTCCTGTTTAATAGGATGTATGTCTGAGCAAGAAGTGCAAAGGGCCATAGCATACTCCAAACACAATTACAGTAAATGTGATATTAGTTGTTGTAGGTTTTCCGGGCTGTCAATGTGAAATTAGTCCAACCGAAAGGACTATTAGTTGTTGTAGGTTTTCCGGGCTGTCTGGCTGTTTTCTGGAGGTTTTTCTTCCTAACGTTTCGCCAGTCTCTATGGCTGGCATCTTCAGAGGACAGGAGTCAGAACTCTGTCTGTGTTCTGGTACAGTTGGTAGGGAAAAAATCACAGAGCTGATATTTTTCCTACTATTTGAAGCCCTCAGATTCAGTTTCAGACTTCAGTTCTTCACCCGAAAGGTCGGTTTCTGAGTGGTTAAGTTGTTGCTAGCCCCTTCCTTCTAATAAATTGGGCACTGTTGGCAGCTGTGCTATTCCTTTACCAAAATCTTGAGATAAGGCTGACATTTTGGTAGAAGCGACAACAGAACCTGCAGTTGCAAGTTTGTTTCTTGCAAAACAGTTGGCTAAACAGTGACCGCATGCTTTGCCTCCTATCTTGGCTTTTATAAGAACAAGAAAGACGTCGCTCTTTTTTAAAGGAAAGTTGCAGTCTTTTTTTTTTCTACCACAGACCTATGTAAATCCTTTATACAGCACACATCTTCTGTGTTGGACAAATATACTTGTGCACCAGGATTAAGAGTCCAGGAATGATACTATAGGATCAGAACGTCCCTTCTCCTAGAATGTGGATGTACTATCCTAGTGACTACAAGACTGAAGAATAAAATCAAAAGAGACGGTTGCAATAAGCAAGACATCCACACTTTCTCAAACCAGACAATTACAGCTTACAACCACTGATGGTTTAACCACCATATATCAAATTACAAGCCAGGAGTTTGACTCTGCACACATTCACATTGTTCCTATTATAGCGTAGACTGTGTTGGAATCAGGAAATCTCTCATAAACCATGCATTTTCCATATGACTACATGGCTACAACAAAGTCACAGTCTAAAATCACAGTCTAATTCCAACCTTTCATCCTGAAGAGATAGGTTAGCAAGGAATATTCAACTGTGAATTCTGTTGGAGCTTTAGTTACAAGCTTGCATGCTGTCTGTGGTTTGTGTAATTGGGAGATACTTCTTGTGAGTTGTGACTGATTGTCTATCCAGCACTATTCTACTTTTGAATTCAAAGAGATGCCTGCTTCTGTGCTTAGTGTTTCTTTCCCTTTCTTTAGTTGGCTGGAAGCAGTCAAATGTTTGTATGCTGTTGATCTGTTCAGTTGGTAGTATGTGTGCAGAAAGAAAGCAGCATATGCAAGTCTGTAACTGCAATTAACTATGTAAAGAAATGCTTCTTATTCTTTCTCCTACAAATTTCTTAGAGTAGATTATTAAGACTTTAAGTGCCAGTTAATGAGAAAGAAGTGGACTCTGGATAACAGGAATTTGAAGTTATTTTCCTCTGTGAATCTCTGTACTTCTACTGTGTAGCAAAAGGAATTTTACCAGGAATTCAAAACTCTGCAATAGTTTTTAC